ATTATATAGTTACATATATAGTTATATATATAATTTTTTAAAAATTCATTATTTTTATGTATATGAGTGTTATGCCTGCATGTAGGTATAAGTGCACCCGAGTTGTGCTATGCCCACGGAGGACAGAAGAGGCTGTTGGATCCCCTGGAACTGGAGTTACAGATAGTTGTTAGCTACCATGTGGGTGCTGGGGTTGGAACCTAGGGCTTCTGCAAGAACAGTGTTTTGTTTTGGTTTTTAATTTTATTTATTATTTTTATGTTTATGTGTGTATTGCCTGCATATAGGTAAGTGCACCTGTGTTGTGCAATGCCCACGGAGGACAGAAGAGGCCGTCAGATCCCCTCGAACTAGAGTTAGGGACAGTTGTTAGCTGCCACGTGGGTGCTGGGATTCAAACCCAGGTCTTCTGCAAGAACAACCAATGTTCTTAGCCGCTGAGCCATCTCTCTAGCCCAACAGTCAGTGTTCTTAACCGCTTTTGTTTTGAGGCAGGTCTCCTTGTAGCCCCAGCTGGCCTGAAATTTGCTATGTAGACCAGGCTAGTCTCAGCCTCACAGAGAACCACCTGCCTCTGTCTCCCAAGTGCTGGCACTAAAGCCAAACTCATCACATCTGACTACATATAACTTAAAAAGGTATAAGATAGGCGTACTCTATTTACTGCCCAGCATTCCTTATGGTATACTCAAGATTTTTCCTAAAATAAGAGAAAAAGATAAACAGGAAAAGTACTCTGGAGAAGTAGGCAGGAAGAGGAGGTGACAGGCACCTGGACACGAAGCAGGAGGCCACTACTACACACTAGGCTGTTAAGGAGTCTTCCTGAGAACTGCTTTTACTATGTGAGTAAGTCCCTCAGTCTGGGACAGAGGCAGTCTCTGGGGATCCCAGGGAAGAGTGTGCTAATGCTGGGCAAAGTATGAGGGGCAGCTGGCCTGTCAGGCTATAAGGTGATGAGGTCATTCTTCCCAACTGGCCTCACTCTAAAGGGAATGAGGGTACAGGGCTGGAGAGATGGCTAGTTGTTAAAGAGCATCGGCTGCTCTTGCAAAAGACCCAGGTTTGAATCCCAGCACCCACATGGCAGCTAACAACCATCCTTAACTCTAGTTCCAGGGGATCTGATACCCTCTTCTGTCCTCCCTGGGCACCGCACCACACGGGTACACTTACATTCAGGCATAACACTCATACACATAAAAAATAAATAAATCAAGCTGGGCATGGTGGTACACGCCTTTAATCCCAGCACTGGGGAGGCAGAGGCAGGTGGATCTCTGTGAGTTCAAGGCCAGCCTGGTCTACATAGTGAGTTCAGGTCAGCTGAGACTTCAGGGAGACCCTGTCTCAAAAAGACCAAAAAAATAAATAAATCAGAAAAAAAAAAAAAATTGAAAAGAAAAAAAAAAAGAGAGAATAAGGATAGAACTCAGCTTTCCATCAAGTCCAGACTAATTCAAGATCAGGAACAGAAATGGGGGCCAAGCCAGCATCTGACCCCACACCCAGCCCTCCCAGGTCTCTTCTCTTACTCATCGTGATGAAAACTCCAGCTGGAAGCTTCCCAGACACAGGCAGACCAAACCAATGAGGTGTCGCTTCACAGCCACAATCAGAAAAACTGACACACTCAGATTGCTGCTGACATGTGAGGGGCGGGGGCTGGGCTCAGCAGTCCTAGTATGCATGATCACCAAACTCTGGGTTCCATCCTCCGTACTGGGCTAAAAAAGTCCAGAGCAGCCATTTAATAGACAGGAAAACACATATCCATACAAAAACCCAAAACAGGAATGTTCACCATGGCATTATCTATATAACAGCCAAAAACTACAAACAGCATAGTCTCAATGAATGAATGGATAAACTGTGAATGAATCTGAGGCACAAAGTCCAGCTATAAAAAGTAACCACTGCAGGGGTTGGAAAGATGAGTCAGTGTCTAAGAACACTGGTTGTTCTTGCAGAAGACCCAGGTTTGAATCCCAGCACTCACATGATAGCTAACAACAGGCCATAGCTCCAGTTCCAGGGGAACTGGACACCCTCTTCTGACCTCCTTGGGCATTGCATGACACGGGTGCACTTACATACATGCAGGCAATACATTCATTCAAATAAAATAAATATAACAAAATATTTTTTAAAAATACATTACAGGGCTGGGTGTGGTGGTGCATGCCTTTAATCCCAGCACTCGGGAGGCAGAGGCAGGTGGATCTCTGTGAGTTCAAGGCCAGCCTGGTCTACATAGCAAGTTCCAGGACAGCTGGGGCTACAGGGAGACTGTGTCTCAAAAAGATCAAAAAAAAAAAAAAACACAAAAAAAACCCCTAACCACTACAGGACAGTTCGAACAGGTGAACTTCAGAACCTTATGCCTAATAAGAAGCCACACACAGCAGACTGTATGCTGTCGAGAAATAGTTACGGAGCCAATGAGATGGCTCAAGTAGATAAAGGTGCTTGCTGCCAAGTCCAACGACCTGAGTTTGATCACCAGAACACACTGAGTGGAAGGAGAGAACTGACTCCTGCAAATCCAAGCTGCCCTCTGACTTCCACTTGTACACCATGGTATGTGGCTCAATGCCTCCCAAAATAAAATAAATGTTGAGAGAGGGAGAGGGGGCGTGGGAGAGGGAGGGAGGGGAGAGAGAGAGGGAGAGAGAGAGAGAGAGAGAGGTAGGTTTAGAAGCTAATGTGTTGGCAGTCTTGTCAGCACTCAAGAGCCAGAAGCAGGCAGATCTCTGAGTTCAAGGCCAGCCTGGTCTATGTAGGAGTTCCAGGCTTGCCAGGGCTACACAGTGAGACCCTGTCTCAAAAACAAAAAGTATTTATTATTATTGGTGTTCCAGGGGGTAGGGGTGGGGTGTGACATACATGTGAAAGTCACAGGACTTTGCACAATCAGATCTCCCTTTGACCTTCATGTGGGCTCAAGGGATCAAATTCACTGAACCATCTCAGTAGTAACCCCCCGCCCGGTTTTGTTTTTTCAATATTTTATTATTTTCATTTCATGTGTATGATATGAGTGTATTCGCTGCACGTATGTGAGTGCACCTGTGTCATGCAATGCTGCGAAGATCAGAAGAGGGCTTTGGATTCCCCTGGAACTGGAGTTAAGGACGGTCCGTAGCTGCCATGTGGGTGCTGGGAATCAAACCCGGGTCCTCTGCAAGAGCAGTCAGTGCTCTTAACCGCTGAGCCATCTCTCCAGCCCCCCGCCCTCTGGTTTTTTCAAACTACATCTCAGATGTGGTGGCCCATGCCTGTCATTCCAGGTCTTTGGAGGCAGAGGTAGAACTGCCTTGAGTTCCAGACCAGTCTAGACCACATAGTGAGATACTGGCTCAAAAAACCCAAAATAAAAACAAATGAAAAAAACTGCCTTCCTGAACATTTAGTTTCTCTTGTCATGACTGTCCTAAGTGATACAGTGTAACAGCAATCTGCACAGCACTCCCCTGTATCAGATACAGTGAGTGAGGGGTGGAGATCAAGTGCACACGGTTTTACATGAACCATATGAGCATCCAAGACTCTGGTTCCGTTGAGAGGGAGTCCTGGAATCAAGCCCTGTGTGCACCCAGGGACAACCATAGGGAGACCAAGGTATGTTCTCAGTCACAACTCAGCAGTGTATTAAATGCCACTGTGCTCTCTGCTGACAACAGATGAATGTGATGGTATCTAAGTTAGACCTCAACAGGGAGGCAAGGCTCTTGTGGCTCCCTTTGTGCTCAGAGCCAAGGCCAAGTCTTAGAGCAGAAGCAGAGCCCACTAGGGATCCCCTTCTCAGTTCTCACACTCTTCCCTCCCTTACCCCTCTTACCACACTGATTATGTATCTTCTGCCTCAGGAACTTTGCACAGGCTAGTCCCTTTTCCCACAGGGCTTTTCCCTCACCTGCCTGTGAGACTGAATCTTCAGGCCTTTGGTCACATGTCACCACCTTAGGTGTCTTTCCATATTGTCCTATTTAAATTTTGATTTTTATTTTATGTGTATGAGTGTAATGCCTGCAGAGGACAGGAGAGGGTGTCAAATTCCCTGGAACTGGAGTTAAGGATGGTTGTTAGCTGCCACGTGGATGCTGGGATTCTAACCCAGGTCCCCTGCAAGAACAGTCTCTCTGCCCCTCACTACCCTGTTTAAAGGGCACCTCCTTGCCCACTCTCCAGCTCACTCCCTACCCCACCCAGCAGCATTTCTGTCCAAGTCACTCACTACCATTTCAGGTGCTGTGGGTTTTTATTTCGTCCCGTGTGTCCCTGCCCATGCTTCTCTGTTCCACACCCAACTAGCACATAAGGTCTGAGAGGGCAGGGCCTGTTTTTTTCCAAACTGTGTCCACAGCATGTCAGACTGACTTGATTCCACACAGGCTGAGGGGATGAATGGCAGAGCTGGCTTGAAGAGGGGCAGGCCTCTGTGGACAAGCTAGGCAAGGGTCCGACTACTCCAAGCTAAGTCCTGAACTAGGGGAGGGTGGCAGAGGAGACAGACACAGCAGGGACAAAAGCACAGCTCTTGCTTTTGGCTCTGCATGTCTGAGCTCAAGCACCATCTCCAAGAGCACCCATAGAGGAGTCTGGGAAGCAGCTGTGATTGCCAGGACAAAGTAGGGCCATGTCCTCATCCACTGCTTGGATCTACCACAGCCATTGGGGATTCCATCTCTCAGCTTCTGGTTCAAGACCCATTCATTGTTTGCAGGGGGTAGGGGGTGGGGCTCAGTACAGTGTTTGCCTAGAATCCTCCCATGAGCAGCTGAGGATGTGGCTTAAGGTAGAGGACTTACTAAGCATGCAGGAGACCCTGGGTTTCACTCCTAGTACCATTAAAAAAAAGCCCAATGGCAGTGTGGTGGTGCACACCTTTACTCCCAGCACTGGGGAGGCAGAGGCATGTGGAGCTAATGCATACTCCTTCTCTGGCCCCAGAAACCACCTACATCCCAAATAAGAGAACTTCTGTCAGCCTGAATTGCTGCGTAAAGTTGGAATGGGGAAGAATTACCCACCAAACCACATGATCTGTCTAGCAAGAGGAAAGACTAGCAAGATGCTTAGCTTGCTTCCAGCACTAATTTGGTACTTATTCCTTAGTTACATGAATAACAACTTTTAGTCAGCCATATTGCAGCCATGAACAAAATGATTAAGTTTTCATTATGAAATACAGATGGGAATTATATTTCATTGCTAATAATCATCCTTAAAAGATAATGGTACCAAAAGAAAAAGGAAAGGCCAGGTGTGATGGGCATGCCTTTAATCCCTACATGATCTCTGTGAGATCCAGACCAGCCTGGTCTACATAGTGAGTTCCAGGCCAGCTGGGGTTCCAGGAAGACCCTGTCTCAAAAAACAAATAAAAACAAAAAAACAAAAACAGAGTCTAGTCTAAAGGAAACAGTCCGGTCATGCCGGGCCTGGCTCTGCTTTAAAAAATGTGTACTTTATCCTGAAGGCCAAAGGATGAACTTTAAAAGCTTTCAAGCATGAGCCAGGTTGGTGGCACATCTGCCTGTCATTTCAGCACTTGGGAGGCTGAGGCAGGTGGATGGTGGGTTTCAGGCTAGCCAGGGTTACCTAGCGAGGGTCTGACTCAACAAGCAAATAAAAAAGATTTAAAGCAGAGAGGGGCACAAGAGAGACTCCAGGTCTATTTGGAAGGGCAGGGCAATGTAAGCTGTGGTCTCTTGGGCCACCAATACCCAATAATCAAGAGAAACCTGGAGGAAGTAAGACTGCCTTTCACAGAGACTGAGAAGCTCCTGCAGCCTGAGCCCATGCATTCATTCCGACAGGAACTAAACTAATATTTGCTGAGCTGCTCCCAGGCCTGGTTGGAAATGCTGGGAAGACTCAGCCCAGATACACTGACTGAGCTCTGTCACACAATTCCCAGCCTGGTGTCATCCCAGATGACAGTCTTTTGACCCCCTTCTTGGAGTTCCTGCAGTCCCTCAACCAGACTTCTGTCACTATCTAAGTTACTCAAATCATAATTGTGTTACACAGCAGTCTCTTCCTACTCCCCTGGACTGCAGGGGCCAAAGGCTGGAGCCATCTTTATAGCCCAGCTCAAGGCTGGTCCTCCCATCCAACTCCTCCAACAGCCACTGGGGAAATTAAGACCCAAAGAAAGATACTTGTCCAAGGTCATACCAAGTCGGGTAGGTCTACGCTCCCCTCACAGCCCGTCTTCCTCACCCTTGAGCTGCCTCCCACATGTCAGTGACATCTCAGTGGGTGGGTCGACAGCACCTTGCTGTCACTCCATCAGTTCCCCACAACCTGCACGGTGCCTGCGTGAACTGGTAAGACATCTGCATCTGGACTAATTACCCCATACGATCATCAGAGTTTAGGCTAAAAGTAACCCATCCCAGTCAGGTCCACCCACAGAGAGCTTCTTCAACGGAGTGGATCTGGATGCCAAGTTAACCGGGGTGACCTTCTGCGAGCGCCTCCGTCTCGCTGTTCCTCAGATCCTTGTCTGTAAAATGGGTCTGTTGGCCTCCGCAGTCGGTGCCCTTTACCCATCAGAATTTCCCTACTTTCCCAGAGCTAAAAAACTCCCAATTAACCACTACCCCCTATCTCCGGCCGTACGAGCCACAGCCCGAACAGTAGCAGGAATGGTCTAGGAGCTT